GGTGGGCAGAGCCCAGATAGACCACTGTGTAGCTTTATGCTTAATTCCAAACAAAAACAAACTTTCCAACAGGGCAGATACGTCTGCTTCGAGATTTTCAGGTTTTAGGTAATATGTAAATAATAAATATTAACAATTGAGTGATAGTAAAATTATTTATAAATATATGAATTTATTACTAATTTTTATCTTGCTTAACCTTCGTCAAACTGTTTTTTTTTTTTTGTTTATTTGTTTTTATAAACTTAGATTATAGAAATATCTTCTTTGCAATTTATGGTTTTAGTAGACTGCTCCAGTTTCTGTACCGGGTTTTAGATAGACCTGATTAAACCGTACTGAAATTATTTAAATAGACTTGGTTAGTGAGTGAGCAGATGAAAATATGAATGGGGTTTTAGAAAAGTCATGCCGATTGTACGTATTTTTTTGAAAATTGTTCATTTAAAGAAGTACATAAGAGTCATATACATTTTCATAAGTTAAAATGGGGGCTGGGTCCGTAAATGTTTCTGAGTGATGGCTGAAGAGTATGACGTGGTTAGACTTTTTAAGTGTTGTATTCTATTTTGACAACAGAAGATGTAATTAACATCAAAAGGGTACGTGCCCCGATTCTGTTTGATAGAGTTCAGAATCCTCAGTTGGTATCTTGAAAAATCAGAGTAGAAAACCATGATCGATATTATACTGAAACGTCGAAAATTCCCGGGACAATTGGCTCGAGCCCCTAATCTTTTATTTTTCATTTAAGTACTTAGCGACGCCTCCGATTAACATAATAACTTCAGATTAATAACAGTACTGATAGTGAGCATTTTTAATTCTATTAGAAACATCGGAATTGACCTAAATCACAGACATCTATTAGGCAGTAGTAAGTAGAAAGCTTCAGAAAGTAGATAAAGCAACAGGGCCAGACAAGGTTTTCCCCATGTGTTTTTAATTAAAGGATAGCAAAGCAGTGGGTAGGCACCAGAGATTAGAACTTGGAAGCGGGTGATAAGAGTTGCTGTGCAAGTTAAACTAATGCTTATAAGCCAGTTAGTCTTACGTTGTGGGGGAAAAGTCTAGGGAGTCTGGTAAAATAAGTTTTTATGATGAGAGAAGGTTGGTCATTGACTCCCAAGTTCCAATAGTTTTGGGAACACCGAATCCTCTAGAACTAGGAAGAGTCAGTGAGTGGCAATATTTTTGGTTATTCTGTAACCCACCTTGAGGTATGAGGAAAGATTATAGGAGTTACCTAAAATGTTGTCACTACCAACTCTTGTCCATAGGATTCAATGCTTCCAGGGTTGTTCAAGTTTATAATCAACTTTCCCTCACCATATAATCATCGTTTTGTATAGTCGTGGCAGTTTACTTCAGAATTTGATAAAATTCTATGTTACTATACCTATGGGACTGAGGTATGTATATGTATGTGGAGTTAGTCACTAAAATATTTGATTTGTATTAAGTGATGGCCATATTTATTAGGGGATAATTTATTTTGGACATGTAGCTTAGCAGCAATTGATACACTTTAATTCTATATATCAATTTGAAAGATTTACATAGAGCTACCTGCTTGTAGCCAACTTGCTGTCTCAGGTGTGTGCAATCCAGAACAAAATACTGGATCAAATTGCTTGGATCTTGAGAAGAATGCTCAAAAGACTATTTATTTTCTGTAAAAGTTTTAATACAAAATATAGTATTACTAAACTTGAAAATACTACTGAAGAATGCTTTTCCTCACTAGGCCTACTCATAAAATCTATTTTTATATTTAATATATAACTTCCAAAAAAAAAGCAATCAGATCTTGATCTAAAATTTAAAAAAGTCCATAATTTGGGCCTTATTTCTTACATTTTTTTAAATCCAGAAGTATCACCACCATATTGAACTTTAATAAGTTTTATGAGCTGTGCAAAGAGGATCGTATAAAATATAGATAATGTGAAAAATCTCGGATTCAGGTTTGTTTTTGTTGTAATAAAAACTGCGTCATAGTTTGTTATGCAAGGGTAAGATTGTGTCATGAATAAGTCCAATTTAGATCACAAGTGCAATGCTGCACAGAAGAAGTTATTCCCTGTGAATGCATGAGGACCTCCATTTTGGTATACCTTTGTAGTTAGAAGAGGTTTTTGTAAGAATATTTAGAAATAGTTGTAAAAAAATTCTGTGGTTTATTTTTATGTAACTTAAGTTATGATGATCGGTTTGTAGTTGGAAGATGTATGATACTAAGATAAATAAGAGTTACATTTTAGTTTGAACAGTATTTATTTATTATTATTTGTCCAACAGTCTTTTCCAATTTTCTTTTCTGCCTGTGTGTTTAGCAGATTACAGCCATACTAAATTAAACCCACTTATTGGTTTTTAATGAAAATTTATAAATGTGGTGGTATTGAGTATGGAACCCCATTTAGACAATATGGAAATGACATTACTTACTTTAACTGTTCACTTCAGTACCAGTTGCACTCCTAATGTTGTTGTTTTTTTGTAAAAACTACTTGTCTCACTTCAGTTTAGTGTGTTTTACCTTATACTGAAATATGCAAGTTGTGTTGCTGGTATAAAAGCATACAAATTATAATACTTCTAGTTCATAGATCTTAGAAAAGTTTAGATTAGTCTAAAACTTAATAGAGATTGATGTAACATATAACATTTTTGTATACAAACTATAAGAGTTATGAAACAAATTAACAAGTAATGAAAATACTGATGAATATTAGTAATTTAAAATTATTTTAACTTGTAATTTTAAAGTATTTTGTCAGTTGTTTACCAGTAGAAAATAAAATAGTTGTATTTGAAAAATCAACTTTCCACAGTACATTACATTGAATACAGTACAAGCAAATAGCATTGCCCCAGTGATTTTGGACACACCCATACGTCCCAGCTGTAAGCATGCCCAAACAGTTTTGTATTTGGAACACTATTGCTGTGTCAGTTTTATTAGTTGTGAATGCAACCCTTAAATTTTGCATCTTGGTTTGTGGGCTCTTTGATTGTGTGTGCTGATTAAAACCATAGCTGCCAATGTGGACTTCCCATTGATTCCACTTTAAACATGCACAGAATAGAAGCCTAACTAGTTAACAAAACAATTATCAGTATCATAAGAACCTTCAATAAGGATTGGGCATGTTACAATCATGGATTGCTAACTTAGATAACTAACTCTTGAGGGAGTAGTGTTTAACTAATGAATGTAATTTACTGGAATCTTTAAAACTGTAGTAGTCTCTTTGGTTATACCATAAGATTATTTTTAAACAAATAAATTCATTAGCATGTGAAACTGTTCTATATAAAAGATAAATAAATCCACTGACTTAAACATGGTTTTCTTTCACCTTTTCCCATTTATGAAACTATTTTGTTTCTCTCTATTTATCCATTTTTTAACCCTGTTCCTATTTTTATTATTTTCATAGATTGTTAAATACTTGGAAATAAATTTTGAATTGTAAAGAAACTTTTAACCTATTATAAAGTCCCAGAAAAATAATGTTAATTTTTTGAAATATTTCCTGTTAACCAACAAATATAAAATGGAAGAACCAAAGGAGAAAAGTTTTCAGCTTTTGGCATTCTGTAACTTGCACTGAAGTTCATGTCACTATATAGTATGAATACTAAAAACTTAAAGTGCATAGAAGTTGCACACACTGTATAAGGTTGTATGTTCATATATCATACAAAAATATGATTTGAATAACGGTATATATGCCATGTGTGTTTTAATCTATCATTTACCCCCTTTTTTCTAAATGCTGATATTTTCAAAAACCAATAATGACAATGTTTTATCTAAATTTGTTTTTCAAAAACTATAAAACTAAGTTTTAAACAGATACTTTCATCTTCAGACTAGAATTAAATCTATTTTTCATTACTTTTTTGTGGTGTGAATGTTTAATACAAAGTGCAATTAAAATCACAAAGGCAGGCAGCTCTCAAGAAAATCAGATTACTGGTTTGGTTTGGGTATTTGCATAAACTTTGATAAAGTTGCAAAAGAGCTATCTGTACTAACTTTCTCTACCTTTAAACTGGTAGACTATAGAAGGAAGGCATCTAGTCTAAAATTTTAGGTGCAGCTTATTTTGTCATGAACTTAAATAAAATCATTATTAATCACTCATGGTTGTACTAAAGTTTTACAACATAGTACAATATATTTTTTATTACATCATTCAGCCAATGTGATGTAGGATAACATGCATGCAATTATTGTGTTTGCATTAATCAAAACATTTAACATATTTGTTTTATATTAAGATGGTGTGAAGAACTAAAATGTTCTCATCATTTGTTTATCCATGAGCTGTGATATTTCAAATTATCAGTGAATTTTTACAGCTTTCTTAGACATGTGGATCTGCCATTAATTTTGTTTTTCTTTTTTCTTAATATTGCATGCAAAATGTGTTTTAAATCTTGCTCATTTGAATAATCTAGCATAAGAATGTGAAATGTTTGGCAAATAAACTGATTGCTATGGACATAGCCATCTTGTTAAAGTAAGCAAAATAAGTGTTAAACTTAATTTCTCTTGGTCTTAACCTGAAACTGTAAGCAAGAATGTTGAACTATATGCATTCGGGAATGCTTAATCTGCAACAATTTCATCTGATGAATTTAAATTTGTAAATTCAGTTAATTTCTTTAATTATAGTGTACAATTTTATTGTATCTTTGAGAATCTTAATTTTTTGGTTAAACATAAAATGATTAAAATTGCCTGTTTTAAAAGATAAGCTTAAAAATTTATTAGATTTAGTAACTCTTATAAAATGGAATTTTTATTGTGTTTGCTATAATGTACTTCTGAGCTTAAGGTGTGATTGATGAACCACCTATTTATATGTACTTTTTGTCTTCCTATGTACACACACACACACACACACACACACACACACACACACACACACAC